CCTGCGACCGAACCTGCGCAGGTTCGATTTTTTGCGGAGTAATAAATGGTGTAGTGAATTTTGAATGCTTTCAGAGACATTCAGCGCGGTGCAATCAGCGGTCGTGCAATCGACACTGCAAAATTTCTAGAGATGCCTCGTCCTAACACTTCCATTTCGCGCGCCAATTCCTTTGACAAATCCTGTAACACGTGGTTACAGTCTAGCATATACATATTTTATGTACCAATCTCTGAATATGATAATCTAATTAACATTGTTACACTCATACCATTTATACTTCACGGGCTAAATTATCTTCGCAAGTTTCGCATACATGTAACTAACCGTTCATAGCACACTTAATAAGTACATTGAAATAAATAATGGCCACTATTAAAAAACCAGCATCTAATTAAAATTCATTCCCGTTCTACATGCCACATGTACATGTGCCTGAATGTCTCATTAACAGGTCACCCATACGATGTCTTCGTCCCACATTGTCGAAGCCCCAACACCTCGGAACCTCCAATCAAACGATTGGTTCTCTAGCGTCTGGGGCATTTCCCAACCTCAGCCAAGCCGGAGGCTCGCCTCCCGTGTCTCAGTGATTGGTTGGTGTCAACCAACATTCCGATGAAATACCTGGCAACACGCAAATGAGTCGCCCGAAAACTGGGATGTCGAAACCTACTCGCCATCTGGACAGGTTTGCGAGGCGTTAACGATTGGTTTTACCCCTCCAGTTGTCAACGACTGGCTTTCGGTTGGAAAACCAGAAACCCAAGTTTCGCGATGAGGTGATCACAGGCGGAATGATGGCCGGGCCACGGAGAGAGCAACGAGTGTCTCGCTCGCGAGTCGCGGCTTTGACGAAGCTGGTATTGGCACCTAGCGACAACTGTGCACCAGATCGTACGCGTTACACCGTTGATGAGGTGTTTTGGACGTCGCGCAGGTGACGTGGGATGACGTGGTGTAAAGGAATATCTTGTGGAAGCTTCACTTCAAGCTCCAACGTCGACCCTGCGACAAATATGAAAGATCGATCTTCCACCATACTAGAATCCCGTTATTTCTATTCCAAACGTTTAGACGCTTTCTAAACCACGCCAAAAAAACGAGCCTGCATAGGTTAGATTGCTCTCTGTGCTTTTGCTTCGATAGTGCAATGCTCGCTTACACCCTCAATTCCACACGTAACAAATACCCAGAATATATTTATTGCTTTTCCGTAGATGACAATCGTTCACAAAACTAGTTTCCAATCCGAACAGTGCGATGGGAGGGATTCCACTCGCACGCGCATGGGTTTTCTGGCGAGCACGACGAATGCAATGCACACACCTGGCAGGTGTTCTTCCTGAAAGGGCCCAGAACGTTTCCAAGGGTCGAAACGTGTAACTCCGGACCGGATGTTTTTCACTCGTGCTCTTTGCTCGTCCTCCATGTTGTACTTCGTATGAGTAGAACGGCTGTTTTCTTTGTCAGCAGGCGCAGGCTCTGCCACCTGTGGAGACGAGTTTTCATTGACGCTGAAGCTACAATGGGGGTGTTTTGTCATAATAGACATCGATTTCATCCACTAGCAGGGTAGGTAGCCTACGGTGTGGCAGAATCAACCGAATGCTCCAAGCACACACTTGGACTATCGATAGTCCCAAACGGGCAGGCTTCCACTGAAGATTTGGTCCCAATTCTTGTCCCCGCTGGAAGCTCTTTGGATCGTTGTTGCCTCGTCACCGTCACACTTTCACAACACACCACACACAGATGCGTGGGTTGAAATTGCTATTGTTGTGTTCTGCCCCTCGAGACTGCAGAAAGTTCGTTAGATCATGTCTCGTGACTCGTCCACAACACACAGACAGCTGCGTGTTCCAGGCGCCTCGGGAATTTTAGAAGCTTTTTGATCAGATAAGAAGATAAAATCGGACTTCTCGAGATGGTTTCGGTTGTAGAGTTGGGAGGGGAGTGGGAGAGTAGGCAGGCAGGGCATAGAGGGAATGGAAGGCCAGGGGAGCTTGCCAAAAGCAAAGCTGTGATTTGTTTGCGAGCAACCGCGAAACCCGTTCCGCAAGCATGCTGTAGATAGTAAGCTCGTTCTGGCACTCCCATTTCTCCAGTGAGACAATCCTGGCCGCACACTCTCTGGAGCTCGTGTACTGTAGCGAACCACCATAGTACTGTTCTGAACTGTACGCACAGTATCAGTTAGTGGCGGCCCACCCACTGGGAGGGGAAATTGTGACGAACCAGGATGACAGTCTCGACAACGATCGTCGCTCACCGCAAACTATGTGCATCCGTACATGTCCTTTTAGGATCGGGAGTCGCATCGATAAGTAGTACTGTACGTTACTGTAAAAACCATCCTTGCTTTCTTTTGCGTTGTGCGGAGCGGCGCAGTTCGGTTGACTGCGCTTCAGTGCAGCGGATCAGCTCAATGAATATTCCCAAAGAAACGTCACTTTTGGACCCACCCTCCGCGCCTTCGCAAGTGTCGGGGAGAAAGTGCCTCGTAGGGGTGAATACTTTCATAGAAAACCCATGGAGGGAGTCCGCAGACTCATCATTTCTCTTCGTTCTCTGTCGAAGGTCAAGGTCCCGTTCTTGCGCCGCAGTGCTTCTAGAAGACCCCTACTAGAGTTCCTACCGGCGGGACAATGAGGTTGCTCCTTGTGCTCGTGGTGGTGCTCATGACAGGTGAGAGAGTGCTTGACACCTGAAAGCTCTTTACAGGTGAGATCGCTTGACATGTGAGAGTGCTACGGTACTACAGCAGAGTTCTGTGATCTATTCTTTGTTGTGCTCGCGTAGCCTACCAGTGAACGAGGTCGTTAGTTTGCCGCTATGCAGGGTGGAAGCTAAAATTCTTATTTCTCTTATTGAAGGAATAAACAGTCTGGTAGAGGGAGGCCTGTCGATCGGGTGGGAACTAAGGCTCCCTTGACTGCGTGCTCTGTCCGCGTTTGCAGGTTCCGTGGACTCTCTCTGGAACAACCGCCCTGCGTCAGTCGCGGTGGGTATACCTCTCTTGATGATCACGTTATCCGCCGCATGATGCAGTCGCTGTTTTTGTGTGCGGTTTTCTTTACCCTTAGATTCAAGCGCTGGTGCAAACGTTGGTTCTTGCTGAAGGTGTACGACGAATAACACACATGAAACCAGGCTGGCTTGCTGACTGAAGCCCAACACCAGCCAGCCTGGCAGGCGATAGTGAATGGCTGAAGGCCTTGCTGACGCGGAAGCTTCAATGGGGGGAATGAACCACCACTCTGTTCGGCCCCAGGGCTTCGGGTTCTGGGGCTGTGACCCAGGACTTCGGGTTTTGGGGCTGCGAAGGGTTGGTGGGCTTGACAACATTTAGACTATCCTGCCTCACCTGAACTGAACTTATAGGTCTCAACCTCATTTTCTCACATCTCCTTCCTCCTCCGCTTCCTGTTTCCTTGCACCCCGTTTCCACCCCTCCCTTGCTGCAGGAAGCTGTCACGTATGTTGTGGGCGGGAAAAAGGGCTGGCCAGCAGTCGCGACCTGGAAAAAGCCTGATTTTTTTGCAAGAGATGTGCTAGGTAAGCGTGCCTGTCTGCGCTTCCTAAGATTGACTATTGTTATTGCTGTACAGTTGTTTCAGCTTCTGCAAGTATGCAAGTAACTCCTGAATTTAAAATTTACTTCCTCCCTTGCTTGTGTTCAGTATTCAAATGGAAACCCCGGAGAACGAGGAACGCTATAATCGGCCAAAAGCACAACCTTGCATTGGTGGGTTCCGTGGAAGATTTTAACGCGTGCAATGTCAAGAAGGTCCAGAGAGTGCTCGTGAAATCCAGGAGAAAGGCCAAATTCTCCTTCATATTAGACTTCTCCTCGACGTACTACATGATCAGTACCAAGGGCAAGGACTGCAAAAATGGCATGAAAATCACCATCACTTCTTGATTACTTCCAGCTGATTTGGACTCTATTAACCAGGACTAGATTCTAATTGTGGTTGTACGTAACATTCATTTATGCGTATCTGTTCTGAAGTGAAGGATGCAAGAAAGGATGTCTATTTTGTTTGCGTTTCTGAGAGATTATTGACCCTCACTGTACTTTCATCATAGCGCTTGTGACAAGGGGATAACTTCTATCGGGATTCGCACGGCGAAACCACTAAGCAGTGCAGAGCAGAGATCTGAAGTGAGCTTGATAGGTGGCTCCGAGATTAACTCGATCAGAGAGGGCAGTTTTCAGCAAGCGAGCTGCCGGCGATCGGGTAACCGAGTTACTGCATATCGCCGAGAGTGGGCGAACCTCACGACTTCAACAGCTGCCAGCAGCTTGGAGAGCGTGATTTGCCGCGTAGCACACAAGTACCCCACGGTAGGGGCACCGCTACTACGTGCTTCACCACGTTTCACAATACTACTAGTACTACGACTAGCCTAGTACTATTGAGTGCTCATAGTCGATTTTCCACGTTCGAGCGCGCAGAGATTCCAACTCCCTTAGAACCGTTCCTTGTTCCATTGTAGATCCTACCGTACGAGAATTGAACACCCCTATTCTCAGCGTGACGTGCTTACGTGTATCAGACACTCTCGCACCGCTTTCGTGCTGGTAAGCGTATCATGTAGTGCCAGCTGGCATGGAGGCTGCGCCATCCCGCGAGGCCATGCCTCCCCCTCGCGCTCCCGCCGATGTCAGGCCTCCGCCTTTAGCGGATTGCGCTCCTTCCGCAAATTCCGCTCCCTCCGCTCCATCCGCGGCGATGCCTCCGCCTCCCGCGCGGGCCAAGGGGAAAGCAAAAGCGGGAGAGGGGAGCGCGGAAGGGGAGACTCCGAAGTGGAGCGGAGAGGGGGAAAGCGGGGAAGGGGACACAATGAAGGTCACCCGCAGCGTAGGCGCAGGAGATTTGCACGAAAGCACAGAAGAGGGGGGTAGTACTGGCGGAAGCAGCGGAAAAGCGCATGAGATAGGGGGAGGGGGGCAACCTGCTGAAGGTGGGGAGCCTGGTGGCAAAGCGGAAAAGATGGATCATTCGCACTTAGCTAAACGTTTGGATACGAGTTCAGCAGATCAGATTTCGGGAAAGGGTGATGAAGGAAGAGCGGCTGCTGCAGGCACAGCAATCGGGGAAGCAGAAGCAGGGGATGGGAAGGGGGGGAAGGCAAGCAAGGGTGCTGCTAACGGAGGTGACAGTGGCGGTGGTGAGAGTAAACCAGGGAGTGGCAGAAGCAGCAGCAGTAGCAGCAGCAGGGGCAGCGGCGGAGGCAGCGGCAGCGGTGGCATTGGCAGCGGTGGCAGTTGCAAGGCACCGTATTTGATCCCTGATTGGGCGGCAGTTCCCAAAGTGCCGTTCAGACTGGAGGTGGTGAAGGATGGCACCGTGGCCGAGGAGATGGCCGTGTGAGTGGTGGAGAGTTGTGGGGATGGTCGAGTGGTGGGGATGGGTGAGTGGTGGGGATGGGTGAGTGGTGATGATGGGTGAGTCGTGCTGATGATGATTATGTGTGAATTCTGGTTATGGTGATGACCTGAGAATTGAGAAAGCGCAAGCAGTAATCAAGAATCAACTTCCCTCATCGTCGCCCCTGCTCTCCTCTCACCGCCCCTGCTCTCCCTTTATCCTCTCCCCTCTCCCTCACAGCTCTGCCAAGAGCACTTACATGTTTGGCCGCATCGACCGCTGTGACTGCGTGCTGCATGTGCTCTCTCACTCACCGAGGTGATCCGGACTCCACGTCCCCTCACTGCCACTGCTCTGCTCTTCCCCTCCCCTTTTCCCCCCAGTTCTGCCAAGCGAGCATACATGTTTGGCCGCATCGACCGCTGTGACTTGGTTCTGTGCGTTTACCGCTGTGGCCAGGCCTCATGTTTCCGCACTGCGCCAGCTCAGATCCCCAGTCTCCCCACCCCACCGCCCCTGCTCTGCTATTCCCATCAACCCTCCTTGCAGCTCTGCCAAGAGCGCATACATGTTTGGCCGCATCGACCGCTGTGACTTTGTGCTGCAGCATCCCTCCATCTCCCGCTACCATGCTGGTACTGAATTGATGGTAAACAGGTGGTAACCAGGTGGTAACCAGGTGATAACCAGGTGGTAACCAGGTGGTACTGGTGGTACCTTCTGAGGTGGTGGTAACATTCTGGTACATGGGGGTATTATGATGCATCGACCGCTGTGACTTTGTGCTGCAGCACCCCTCCATCTCCCGCTACCATGCTGATAATGCCATGGTAGCCAGGTGGTAACCAGGTGGTAACCAGATGGTACCGAGGTGGTGGTAACATGTTGATGTAAACTAACATGATGCTGATTTTTGTGAGATGAGGGTAACTTGCTGGTACATGGAGGTGCTATGATGCATTTGGCGGTTGTGGCCTTGTGCTCCACCCGCCCTCAATCTCCCCCTACCATACTGGTATAGTGCCCTACCCAGGGATATGACGGGGTAGCTAGCCAGGTGCTTCGTTTGGTACCTCTCCGAGAAGGAGCATGAAGCTTTTCATTAGCCTGAATGCACTTGACCGTTTGGACAAATGAGAAGGATTTCATCCCTGCATCGTGCCCGCCTACCCGCCCTCCCGCCTGCCCGCCGGCCTGCCTGCCTGCCTGCCTGCCCGCCTGCCTGCCTGCCTGCCTGCCTGCCCGCCTGCCTGCCTGCCCGCCTGCCTGCCTGCCCGCCTGGCTGCCTGCCTACCCGCCTGCCTGCCTGCCCGCCTGCCCGCCTGCCTGCCTGCCTGCCTGCCTGCCTGCCTGCCTGCCTGCCTGCCCGCCTGCCTGCCTGCCCGCCTGCCTGCCTGCCCGCCTGCCTTCCTGCCTGCCCCCCCGCTCGCCCGCCCACCCTCCTGCCTGCTTCCTGCCTGCCTGCCTGCCTGCCTACCTGCCTGCCTGCCCGCCCGCCTGCCCGCCCGCCCGCCCGCCCGCCCGCCCGCCTGCCTGCCTGCCCGCCTGCCTGCCTGCCCGCCCGCCCGCCCGCCCGCCCGCCTGCCTGCCTGCCCGCCTGCCTGCCTGCCCGCCTGCATGCCCTCCACCCTCGTACCTGCCTGCCATTGTGTCTCTCCGTGCCATTGCGGGCAGTGATCCAGTACGGGGACGACAGCGCTGCATTTCTCATGGACCTCCACAGCACCCACAAGACGTTCCTCAACAAGCAGCAGGTGCGGCGTGTGTGTGCCCCCATGCATGCTGCCGTCTCTCCTGCGCGCGTGTGTTCAATATTCCCTTGGCATGAGGGGATTCCTAATGCATCTCCACAGCACCCATAAGGTGTTCCTCAAACGTTGACTCCTGGAGTGGAGTGGAGTAGGGAGAGAGTGTGCGGGCGTATGTGTCTTTTCCATGGTGCTTATATTCACTCTGCTGATACTACATCCCTCAGGCACGCCCAAGGGCCACGACACACATCCATACTGTTCTGCATCCCATCCACCCATGCATGTGCTGTGCGTGTGTCCACGTGTTTGCCATCTACATCCTCGCTCGTTGCCCCGCCCCCCCCCCTCCCCTCCCTTGTGTGCAGGTGAAGCCAGGCACGTTCGTTCCCCTGAGGGTTGGTGACGTCATCAAGTTTGGCATGTGAGTGAGTGATGACGTCACCAAGGGCGTACAGTTTTCCCAGGCGCGGAATCCAGCCGCTGTGTGTGGGCCACGCGGTTCTGCTTTCTCCCTCTCTCGGCCTCACTCACATGCATGCGATGTTGGGCTCTCATTTGCGGTGTGTTTTGTGCAATGTGCTTTGCGCAATGTGCATGAGTATGAATCCTCCCACCAACGTGTGTATCTCTCCTCCCTGTCTGCCAGGTCGTCACGCCTGTATCTCTTCCAAGGGCCTCAGGACCTCATGCCTGAGGTGAGGCAGCGTGTGAGGTGAGTCAGTGTGTGAGGTGAGTCAGTGTGTGAGGTGAGTCAGCGTGTGAGGTGAGTCAGCGTGTGAGGTGAGTCAGCGTGTGAGGTGAGTCAGCGTGTGACGTGAGTCAGCGTGTGACGTGAGTCAGCGTGTGACGTGAGTCAGCGTGTGAGTTGCATCACTTTGAGAGGTGTGAAATGAGTCATGGCTTGAGGTGAGGTCAGTCAAAAGTGACTGCCACCCACCGGGTATCCTTACCCAGATCTATCACCCCTTTGCTCAGATGCCCCCCCCCCCACCCAGCATCCTATCCCCCCAGGAAGATCCCTCCCATGCAGAACGCGATAATGAAATTCTTTTGAGGCGTCCAACAACCAATACGTTATCGTTCAATCCCCAACAACCAATACGTTATCGTTCAACCCCCAACAACCAATACGTTATCGTTCAACCCCCAACAACCAATACGTTATCGTTCAACCCCCAACAACCAATACGTTATCGTTCAACCCCCAACAACCAATACGTTATCGTTCAACCCCCAACAACCAATACGTTATCGTTCAACCCCCAACAACCAATACGTTATCGTTCAACCCCCAACAACCAATACGTTATCGTTCAACCCCCAACAACCAATACGTTATCGTTCAACCCCCAACAACCAGTACGTTATCGTTCAACCCCCAACAACCAATACGTTATCGTTCAACCCCCAACAACCAATACGTTATCGTTCAACCCCCAACAACCAATACGCTATCGCTCAACCCCCAACAACCAATACGTTATCGTTCAACCCCCAACAGCCAATACGTTATCGTTCAACCCCCAACAACCAATACGTTATCGTTCAACCCCCAACAACCAATACGTTATCGTTCAACCCCCAACAACCAATACGTTATCGTTCAACCCCCAACAACCAATACGTTATCGTTCAACCCCCAACAACCAATACGTTATCGTTCAACCCCCAACAACCAATACGTTATCGTTCAACCCCCAACAACCAATACGTTATCGTTCAACCCCCAACAACCAATACGTTATCGTTCAACCCCCAACAACCAATACGTTATCGTTCAACCCCCAACAACCAGTACGTTATCGTTCAACCCCCAACAACCAATACGTTATCGTTCAACCCCCAACAACCAATACGTTATCGTTCAACCCCCAACAACCAATACGCTATCGCTCAACCCCCAACAACCAATACGTTATCGTTCAACCCCCAACAGCCAATACGTTATCGTTCAACCCCCAACAACCAATACGTTATCGTTCAACCCCCAACAACCAATACGTTATCGTTCAACCCCCAACAACCAATACGTTATCGTTCAACCCCCAACAACCAATACGTTATCGTTCAACCCCCAACAACCAATACGTTATCGTTCAACCCCCAACAACCAATACGTTATCGTTCAACCCCCAACAACCAATACGTTATCGTTCAACCCCCAACAACCAATACGTTATCGTTCAACCCCCAACAACCAATACGTTATCGTTCAACCCCCAACAACCAATACGTTATCGTTCAACCCCCAACAACCAATACGTTATCGTTCAACCCCCAACAACCAATACGTTATCGTTCAACCCCCAACAACCAATACGTTATCGTTCAACCCCCAACAACCAATACGTTATCGTTCAACCCCCAACAACCAATACGTTATCGTTCAACCCCCAACAACCAATACGTTATCGTTCAACCCCCAACAACCAATACGTTATCGTTCAACCCCCAACAACCAATACGTTATCGTTCAACCCCCAACAACCAATACGTTATCGTTCAACCCCCAACAACCAATACGTTATCGTTCAACCCCCAACAACCAATACGTTATCGCTCAACCCCCAACAACCAATACGTTATCGTTCAACCCCCAACAACCAATACGTTATCGTTCAACCCCCAACAACCAATACGTTATCGTTCAACCCCCAACAACCAATACGTTATCGTTCAACCCCCAACAACCAATACGTTATTGTTCAACCCCCAACAACCAATACGTTATCGTTCAACCCCCAACAACCAATACGTTATCGTTCAACCCCCAACAACCAATACGTTATCGTTCAACCCCCAACAACCAATACGTTATCGTTCAACCCCCAACAACCAATACGTTATCGTTCAACCCCCAACAACCAATACGTTATCGTTCAACCCCCAACAACCAGTACGTTATCGTTCAACCCCCAACAACCAATACGTTATCGTTCAACCCCCAACAACCAATACGTTATCGTTCAACCCCCAACAACCAATACGCTATCGCTCAACCCCCAACAACCAATACGTTATCGTTCAACCCCCAACAACCAATACGTTATCGTTCAACCCCCAACAACCAATACGTTATCGTTCAACCCCCAACAACCAATACGTTATCGTTCAACCCCCAACAACCAATACGTTATCGTTCAACCCCCAACAACCAATACGTTATCGTTCAACCCCCAACAACCAATACGTTATCGTTCAACCCCCAACAACCAATACGTTATCGTTCAACCCCCAACAACCAATACGTTATCGTTCAACCCCCAACAACCAATACGTTATCGTTCAACCCCCAACAACCAATACGTTATCGTTCAACCCCCAACAACCAATACGTTATCGTTCAACCCCCAACAACCAATACGTTTTCGTTCAACCCCCAACAACCAATACGTTATCGTTCAACCCCCAACAACCAATACGTTATCGTTCAACCCCCAACAACCAATACGTTATCGTTCAACCCCCAACAACCAATACGTTATCGTTCAACCCCCAACAACCAATACGTTATCGTTCAACCCCCAACAACCAATACGTTATCGTTCAACCCCCAACAACCAATACGTTATCGTTCAACCCCCAACAACCAATACGTTATCGTTCAACCCCCAACAACCAATACGTTATCGTTCAACCCCCAACAACCAATACGTTATCGCTCAACCCCCAACAACCAATACGTTATCGTTCAACCCCCAACAACCAATACGTTATCGTTCAACCCCCAACAACCAATACGTTATCGTTCAACCCCCAACAACCAATACGTTATCGTTCAACCCCCAACAACCAATACGTTATCGTTCAACCCCCAACAACCAATACGTTATCGTTCAACCCCCAACAACCAATACGTTATCGTTCAACCCCCAACAACCAATACGTTATCGTTCAACCCCCAACAACCAATACGTTATCGTTCAACCCCCAACAACCAATACGTTATCGTTCAACCCCCAACAACCAATACGTTATCGTTCAACCCCCAACAACCTATCCACACAGGAGGGCCTGTCACCCCCGGAGCGCCGAGCAAAACGGCGCCGAGCAAAACAGCGGAGAGCACGATAGTAAACTCGTGCCGAGACACCTCACATCACAACAGATTCATTTTCGCCTCACCCACCCACATTCCATCCGCACAGGAAGGACCGTCGCGCGCAGAGCGGCAAGCAAAGCGGCAGGCTGCAGCAAGGGAGGCGGCAAGGGAGGCAGCGGAGAGGGAGCAGCGGCGGGCCGTGGCAGCAGGACGAGGAGAAGGGGAGGAGCAGGGCGGAGGGGTGTCGTGGGGCATGCGGGAAGACGCTGAGGCGGAGGAGGTGAGAAGGAGAGAGGGAGAGCGAGCGAGCGGGAGAGGGAGGGAGAGTGGCTGGGCCGGGGTTGATAAGAAGTAGATAGCTTAGGCACATGGGATGAGAGGGGTGTCGTGGGGCATGCGGGAGGATGCAGAGGCGGAGGAGGTGAGAGCGAGAGAGTTTTTGTGGTTGGAATTTCTTTAATTAGGTTGCATGGGGCACGTGGGAAGGGTGTCGTGGGGCACATGGGAGGAGTGTCGTGGGAAGATGCAGAAGCGGATGAGGTGAGAGTGAGAGAGAGTGGCGAGGCTGGGGGGTTGCTCGGAAGTAGATGGCTCAAGCCCATGGGGGCCACGTGGGGACGGGTGTGGCGGGGCATGCGGGAGGGGTGTGGCGGGGCATGCGGGAGGGGTGTGGCGGGGCATGCGGGAGGGGTGTGGCGGGGCATGCGGGAGGGGTGTGGCGGGGCATGCGGGAGGGGTGTGGCGGGGCATGCGGGAGGGGTGTGGCGGGGCATGCGGGAGGGGTGTGGCGGGGCATGCGGGAGGGGTGTGGCGGGGCATGCGGGAGGGGTGTGGCGGGGCATGCGGGAAGATGCAGAAGCAGATGAGGTGAGAGCGAGCGGTAGAACGACAGTGGCTTGGATTGCTCAAAGTACAAACATAGCGCCTGGGTTCAGGGGTGCACGTGGGGGGAAGGAGAGGGGGAGGAAGAGGGCGAGGGGGAAGGTGGTGGTGAGGATGGGGAAGAGGGTGAGGGAGAGGGTGAGGGGGAGGGTGAGTGAGAGGGTGAGGGAGAGGGTGAGGGGAAGGGTGAGTGAAAGGGTGAGAGAGAGGGTGAGGGAGAGGGTGAGGGAGAGGGTGAGGGGGAGGGTGAGTGAGAGGGTGAGGGAGAGGGTGAGGGAGAGGGTGAGGGAGAGGGTGAGGGAGAGGGTGAGGGAGAGGGTGAGGGAGTGGGTGAGGGAGAGGGTGAGGGAGTGGGTGAGGGAGAGGGTTGGGGGGAAGGTGGTGGTGATGATGAGGGTGTGCAAGAGGGAGAGCTGGGTGGAACGTCAAGATGGATGGCATGGGGTGCGCGAGAATGATGTGCCTGGTGGGAGCTGGATATGATGTGCCTGGTGGGAGCTGGATATGATGTGCCTGGTGGGAGCTGGATATGATGTGCCTGGTGGGAGCTGGATATGATGTGCCTGGTGGGAGCTGGATATGATGTGCCTGGTGGGAGCTGGATATGATGTGCCTGGTGGGAGCTGGATATGATGTGCCTGGTGGGAGCTGGATATGATGTGCCTGGTGGGAGCTGGATATGATGTGCCTGGTGGGAGCTGGATATGATGTGCCCGGTGGGAGCTGGATATGATGTGCCCGGTGGGAGCTGGATGGCAAAGGGAGCGCTTGCTTAGAGACGTCTCAAAACTAGATGAGGAACTGCAGCTCGCCTAACAAGCTTGTATGGCATGGGGTGCGTGAGAAGGGGGTGTTGGATATGGTGTGCCTGCTGGGAGCAGGATGGTGAAGGCAGTGCTTGCTTGCTTGCCCCTTGGCGCCTTCGCCTCGTTGCTTCATCGCCCCATTGCCCCTGTACCCGTTGCTCCATTGCTCCATTGCCCCTTTGCGTCATTGCCCCATCACCCCTTTGCCCCCTGTACGAGCACCAGGAGGAGGAGGAGCAGGAGGAGGTGACGTGGCAGACGCATAAGGGCGAGCTGACCGACAACCAGAGGAAGCTGAAAGAGAAGATTATGAAGCGCCTGGAGAAGGTGAGGGTGGGTGAGGGGGTGTGATGGTCGCTTGCTCCCCCATTGCTCCATTGTTCAATCGATGTCATCGTCTCCCCCCTCGCTCCCTCAACCCTAGTCAATGCACCACCATGTGCCCCAAGTAGATTTTCTCTCTCTCCCTCTTTGCTGAGCCCCTCACCTCCCCAACAGGTGCAGCACATGCAGCGCGAGATGGACGTGAGAAAGGCCGAGGGGGTGGGGCAGGGCGGGGCGGGGGTAGGCAGTGCGCTGCTGTGCGAGTGCCTTTTGAGTCGACTCAAACGTCACCTCGTTACCATACCATGGCACACGATACATTTTCTACACGGTGGGGCAGGGCGGGGGTAGCCAGTGCGCTGCTGTGCGAGTGCCCTCAAGTGGCTGTGTGTTCTCTCCCCCCTGTGCCACTCGCCTCCTCCCCTCCCCTTTCTACCCCCCCCCCTCAACCCAACAGGTGCAGCACATGCAGAGGGAGATGGATGTGATAGAGGCGAAGGAGGTGGGGCAGGGAGGGCTCACAGCAGGGCAGCAGACTCAGATTGCCCGCAACAAGACACGCATTCAGCAGGTGGGTGGGGAGGGGTAGAGAGGGGTGGGGTTGGGTGGGGAGGAGGAATGCCTTTCCACACGTAACGGGGGCTCACGGCGGGGCAGCAGACGCAGATTGCTCACAACAAGACTCGCATTCAACAGGTGGGTGGGGAGGGGAGGGTAGGGGTGGGTTGAGGAGGGGAGAGGCCTTTTGAGGCGTCTGATAGGTAGGGGCTACAGTGGGGCAGCGGACTCATATTGCCCGCAACAAGACTCGCGTCTGGAGCTTAGTGGGAATATACGCGTATAGCGTATATATGCTTATCGTATATACGCTAACGTATATACGCTAAACGCTGAAGGGTCGGCTTTGGGAATCCGCTTTTTCGGGCAGGAAAAAAAATCCCGGGCAGGGTGAAAAACAATGTCGTGCTCAACATCGGGAAGGTATTCCATATTCTCACTAAGAATTTCGTAGCATTCTCCTAAGTCTGAACTTCGATTAGGGTGGGATGTGTAGTAGACACTATCGCTAGAAGGAAAAGTAGGAATCGGGATGAGCTCTGTTGGGAAGCGGGAAATGTCAAGTGCAGTTGGGCTGGCTGGTTAGTAGCGTGAGTGGGGTTTGTTGGGGGGAGGTTTTTGACAGGTTGGAGTTCGTAGATGGGATGGATTTCAATGCGGTACTAAACAAAATTGTAGATCTGAACTGCCAGATGCAATTGTAAGGCACATTCCCGCTTCCCTACAACCCTGAATTGCACCTCGACTTCCGCGAAATGCTCACCAGGAGATTCCGCATCTTTCCGTATACACATGAATTTTTTTCCCGGGCAGCCCCTAAATAAATCTGAAAGCGTATAGCGTATTAGCTAGCGTATAGCGTTTTGCGTATGAACGCAAGCGTATATACGCTATACGCTTTAGGTTCTGAGCGTATATTCCCACTAAGGTCTGGAGGTGGGGGGGGGTGGGGGATTCAGGGAGAGTGTGTTGAGGAGCAGCTTGAGAGTAGGAGCAGCTTGAGAGTAGGAGCAGCTTGAGAGTAGGAGCAGCTTGAGAGTAGGAGCAGCTTGAGAGTAGGAGCAGCTTGAGAGTAGGAGCAGCTTGAGAGTAGGAGCAGCTTGAGAGTAGGAGCAGCTTGAGAGTAGGAGCAGCTTGAGAGTAGGAGCAGCTTGAGAGTAGGAGCAGCTTGAGAGTAGGAGCAGCTTGAGAGTAGGAGCAGCTTGAGAGTAGGAACAGAAAGCTTGTCTTCACTCTCCACCCCTCGTTCCCTGATCTGATCTTGGTCTTCTGTGGAGTGGATGGAGGAGGTGGAGAGTCCAGAAAGAGAGCGGCTTGGGTGATGTGATGTTATCTTCCCTTCCCTTTCTTCATGCTCAGAGGAGACGGAGAGTAAAGAAGACATTTTGAATGAGAGCAGTTTGAGCAATGTTCTCTTGCCTCCCTCCCTCCTCCCTCTTGCTGTTCATGCTCAGCTGATGGAGGAGGTGGAGAGCATGGAAGAGACTCTGAATGAGAGCACCTTGAGGGAGTAGGTTCATGTTAACTTACACCTCCTCCGCCCCTCTTTTGTGGCTATCCCCTGTCGATGGAGGAGGTGGAGAGCATGGAAGAGACCCTGGAACGAGAGCAGTATCAATGAAATATGTTCGAGTGACTTTAGATTGAGAGTTGTCACCTTCCTCTCTCCCCCCCCCTCCAATCCCTTGCCCTTCCTTTTCATCGTCAGTTGATGGAGGAGGTGGAGAGCATGGAGGAGACTCTGAATGAGAGCATTCAGGAGTCGGTGGGGGCAAAGACAGGCAGGAGGAAAGGGAGAGGAGGGCGGGCGGTGGAAGAGGAGGAGGATGAAGATGATAGGTGAGGGGGGAGATTACTAGTGAGTGGGGAGATTACTAGTGAGGGGGAAGATTACTAGTGAGTGGGGAGATTACTAGTGAGAGGGGAGATTACTAGTGAGTGGGGAGATTACTAGTGAGGGGGAAGATTACTAGTGAGTGGGGAGATTACTAGTGAGTGGGGAGATTACTAGTGAGTGGGGAGATTACTAGTGAGTGGGGAGATGACTAGTGAGTGGGGAGATTACTAGTGAGTGTGGAGATTACTAGTGAGTGGGGAGATTACTAGTGAGTGGGGAGATTACTAGTGAGTGGGGAGATTACTAGTGAGTGGGGAGATTACTAGCGAGTGGGGAGATTACTAGTGAGTGGGGAGATTACTAGTGAGTGGGGAGATTACTAGTGAGTGGGGAGATTACTAGTGAGTGGGGAGATTACTAGTGAGTGGGGAGATTACTAGTGAGTGGGGAGATTACTAGTGAGTGGGGAGATTACTAGTGAGGGGGGAGATTACTAGTGAGTGGGGAGATTACTAGTGAGTGGGGAGATTACTAGTGAGTGGGGAGATTACTAGTGAGTGGGGAGATTACTAGTGAGTGGGGAGATTACTAGTGAGTGGGGAGATTACTAGTGAGGGGGGAGATTACTAGTGAGTGGGGAGATTACTAGTGAGTGTGGAGATTACTAGTGAGTGGGGAGATTACTAGTGAGTGGGGAGATTACTTGTGAGTGGGGAGATAACTAGTGAGTGGGGAGATTACTAGTGAGTGGGGAGATTACTAGTGAGTGGGGAGATTACTAGTGAGAGGGGAGATTACTAGTGAGTGGGGAGATTACAAGTGAGGGGGGAGATTACTAGTGAGGGGGGAGATTACTAGTGAGTGTGGAGATTACTAGTGAGTGGGAAGATTACTAGTGGGTGGGGCGATTACTAGTGAGTGGGGAGATTACTAGTGAGTGTGGAGATTACTAGTGAGTGGGGAGATTACTAGTGAGAGGGGAGATTACTAGTGAGTGGGGAGATTACTAGTGAGTGGGGAGATTACTAGTGAGAGGGGAGATTACTAGTGAGTGGGGAGATTACTAGTGAGTGGGGAGATTACTAGTGAGTGGGGAGATTACTAGTGAGTGGGGAGATTACTAGTGAGTGGGGAGATTACTAGTGAGTGGGGAGATTACTAGTGAGTGGGGAGATTACTAGTGAGTGGGGAGATTACTAGTGAGTGGGGAGATTACTAGTGAGTGGGGAGATTACTAGTGAGGGGGGAGATTACTAGTGAGTGGGGAGATTACTAGTGAGTGGGGAGATTACTAGTGAGTGGGGAGATTACTAGTGAGTGGGGAGATTACTAGTGAGTGGGGAGATTACTAGTGAGTGGGGAGATTACTAGTGAGTGGGGAGATTACTAGTGAGTGGGGAGATTACTAGTGAGTGGGCAGATTACTAGTGAGTGGGGAGATTACTAGTGAGTGGGCAGATTACTAGTGAGTGGGCAGATTACTAGTGAGTGGGGAGATTACTAGTGAGTGGGGAGATTACTAGTGAGTGGGGAGATTACTAGTGAGTGGGGAGATTACTAGTTTTGTGGGGAGATTACTAGTGAGTGGGGAGATTACTAGTGAGTGGGGAGATTACTAGTGAGTGGGGAGATTACTAGTGAGTGGGGAGATAACTAGTGAGTGGGGAGATTACTAGTGAGTGGGCAGATTACTAGTGAGTGGGGAGATTACTAGTGAGTGGGGAGATTACTAGTGAGTGGGCAGATTACTAGTGAGTGGGGAGATTACTAGTGAGTGGGGAGATTACTAGTTTTGTGGGGAGATTACTAGTGAGTGGGGAGATTACTAGTGAGTGGGGAGGTTACTAGTGAGTGGGGAGATTACTAGTGAGTGGGGAGATTACTAGTGAGTGGAGAGATTACTAGTGAGTGGGGAGATTACCAGTGAGTGGGGAGATTACTAGTGAGTGGGGAGATTACTAGTGAGTGGGGAGATTACTAGTGAGTGGGGAGATTACTAGTGAGTGGGGAGATTACTAGTGAGTGGGGAGATTACTAGTGAGTGGGGAGATTACTAGTGAGTGGGGAGATTACTAGTGAGTGGGGAGATGACTAGTGAGTGGGGAGATGACTAGTGAGTGGGGAGATTACTAGTGAGTGGGGAGATTACTAGTGAGTGGGGAGATTACTAGTGAGTGGGGAGATTACTAGTGAGTGGGGAGATTACTAGTGATTGGGGAGATTACTAGTGAGTGGGGAGATGATTACTAGTGAGTGGGGAGATTACTAGTGAGTGGGGAGATTACTAGTGAGTGGGGAGATTACTAGTGAGTGGGGAGATGAGTGGTGAGGGGGGAGATTACTAGTGAGTGGGGAGATGAGTGGTGAGGGGGGAGATGAGTTGTGAGTGGGGAGGTGACAGGTGTAGGGAAAGGGGGAGATGATGGGTAAGGGGAAAGGTCAAAGGTGGAGGGGGGAGATAAGAAGTGCCCTCTTTCACTGGATGCTCCTTCACCCATCCCCATGACCATTTGTTGGCCCATGCCCATCCATCATGAACAATACAGGTAGAAGCGAGCGTGCTTTGCTTTGCTTCACCCATGCTTTGCTTCACCCATGCTTTGCTTCACCCATGCTTTTCCACCCCTCTCTCAATCTAAAATTCAGTTCCCCGTGTTCTGTCCAGCCCTGGCAAGAATTAGGTCGTGGGCATAGCGCAGTGCAGCTCTGCTTTTGAAAGTCGACTCGTAGCGCAGCGCAGTTCCCCCTTGCTGGGGCATCTGCCTGCACGTCATTCCCCCGTCCACCGCAGACGACGCGCGGTTCGACTGGGTGGGAGTCAAACCGCCAGCGCATACAAGCGAGTATAAGTGACGACGAATGGAGAATGACATCTCGCCTGTCCGTTTCCCTTCCCCTGCCTCCTTCTTGAGAATTCTCAAAACCTGATGAGCCACTTCTGAGTATGCTCTGACCATCTTCCTTTCCCTCCCCATGCCTCCTTCCTTCCACCTCCCCTGCCTCATCCAGCAACCAGGAGTTCTCTGATCGAGGGCGGAGGAACCGCCACCACGGACAAGCTAAAACCAGTTATGAGTATTTGCCTATGAGTTCCCTATCCACTCTCTCCCCCCTCTCCTTTCCTGCCGCCCCTCCTCCAGTGACAATAAGCTTTTTGACAGAGTGCAGTCAAACCGGCACCCCAGGCAAGCCAGATGGCGACTCTTTGCCTGTCCGTTTCCTTACACACCCCCCCTTCCCCTCCCCTTACCCCCTTCCTGCCACCCCCAGCAACGATGAGTTCTTTGACTGTGTGCAGTCAAACTGCCACCGCAGGCAAGCCAGAATCGCCCATGCGTTGCCTGCCCATTTCCTTCTCCCCACTCCCCCTTGTTCATGCCACCCCCAGCGACGATGAGTTCTTTGACCGCGTGCAGTCAAACCGCCACCGCAGGCAAGCCAGAATCGCCCTGGGAGGGGTGAAGAGCGCGGGAGAAGGGCCAGGCGCGGCAGGGGGTGCGGGAGGGGCAGCGGGGTCAGGAGGGCGGAAAGGGGGAGGAGGCGGAGTGGTGACTGCGGTTGACCTGCTGGAGGAAAGGCATGGGCTGCTGGAGCGACTGAGAGAGGTGGAGGGGCAGGTGGCAGAGGAGAGGAGGAGGAGTGAGGAGGCGAGTGGGGGGGAGGGAGGGGAGGGAGGGAGGGTAGGTGGGGAGGGGGAGGGCGGTGGGGAGGGTGGTGGCGGTGCGGAGGCACTGGATCCTCTGGATGCATTCATGTCGGCTGTGACAACAAAGATAGGTGCGCTGCGTTTACTTTTGGGTTGAGTCATACATGAACATTTGATGGGTGCACTGGCACCGCTGCTGTCACTGGCTGAGCTGCTCCGCTCTTGCATCCGATTGCAATGGTATTGTGGTTGGATTGTGGTTGGATTGTGGTTGGATTGTGGTTGGATTGTGCTGGTGGGCTGGTGGGTGCGCTGCTGTGATGGTTGAAACTGATGTTGCTTTCCTGTTGATTCCTCTTCCCCCTTCCTTTCTCATGTTCCCCATTTTTTCACCTTTGTCCCCTTTCGAATTCTACTCCTCCCCTGTCTTTGTCTCTTCACCCGTCTCCACCGTCCATACGTTGTGTTATCACCTGCACTCCCACTTTCTTCGCCAGAAATGGACAAATTAGGGACGCTGACAAGGGAGGCCGCCCGGTTGTCAGGCGAGCTGGAGCGGGTGGCAGCGCTGCTACAGCTGGCAGACCCATCAGGAGAGGCCGAGGCCAAGTGGGTCCCTCCCGTTGAGAAGGGCAAGAAAAGGCAGAAAGAGACAACCACACTGCCTGCTCCTGCTGCTCCTGCTACTGCTGCTGCTACCGCTTCTGCTGCTGAAAAGGGTGGTGGAAAGGAGGTGAAGCGGCAGGATGCAACGGGAGGGAGGGGCAGCGAGCTCGTCACTGCAGCAGCCCAAAGCAGTAGTGCCCCCGTGGGAACAGAAGAAGCAGCAGATGTGGGGATCCAAGGGAGGGATGGGAACGAGGGAAGTGCGGCAGCAGAGGTGGAAGTGGGAAAGATGGAAGAGAAAGGAAGGGGAGGGGGTAGAGGGGAAGCAAGGAAGCAGGAAACGGCAGGAGGGATTGTGGGAGGGAGCAAGATTGATGAGAAAGAGAGAGTGGGAGGGAGCAAGATTGATGAGAAAGAGAGAGTGGGAGGGAGCAAGATTGATGAGAAAGAGAGTGTGGGAGGGAGGAAGAGAGGAGGAGGTGGGGATTTCAGTGACGGTGAGAGTCGGAGCAAGCGGAGCATTGCTGATGGGGCTGCATCTGCTGCTGCTGGAGCTGCTGTTGCATCTGCTGCTGCCGGTGCTGCTGCCGGTGCTGGTGCTGGTGCTGGTGCTGGCAGTAGTGGTGGTGGCGGTGGAGGGGGAGGGGAGGAGAAACGGCGGAGGGTGTTGGGGCCAGCGAAGCCCAAGTTTCTGGAGGAGGCAGCAGCAGAGATGGAGCAAGGCACCGAGGCCTGGATGCCCCCGCAAGGTGAGTGTGCGGTTGGGCGTGTGTGGGTCAGTTGTTGCGCACGTGTGAGCACAGTGTGAGCACAGTGTGAGCACAGTGTGAGCACAGTGTGAACACAGTGTGAGCACATAAAGCAAGGCACCGAGGCCTGGATGCCTCTGCAAGGTGCGTGCCTGGGTGTGGTTGGTTGGTTGGGCGTGTGCAGTGTGCAGTGATGGAGCAAGGCACGCATCTCTTCAAGGTGCGTGTGTGTGGATGGGCGTGTGTGTGGATGGGCGTGTGTGTGGATGGGCGTGTGTGTGGATGGGCGTGTGTGTGGATGGGCGTGTGTGTGGATGGGCGTGTGTGTGGATGGGCGTGTGTGTGGATGGGCGTGTGTGTGGATGTGCGTGTGTGTGGATGGGCGTGTGTGTGGATGGGCGTGTGTGTGGATGGGCGTGTGTGTGGATGGGCGTGTGTGTGGATGGGCGTGTGTGTGGATGGGCGTGTGTGTGGATGTGCGTGTGTGTGGATGGGCGCGTGTGTGGATGGGCGTGTGTGTGGATGTGCGTGTGTGTGCAATGTGAGTGAGTGGCCTTGGCGTGTGCAGTTTCATTGCTTGGCCATCACTCCTTTTGTATGTCTCTTCTCATCAAGCCTCCACAACCATCTATGAATCAAATTTGATGTGCATACCTCACAACATTCCTGCCATATGCACACAAAACGAAACCACTGCTTGTCCCACCATCCCACTCTCCTCGCAGGTCAAACCGGTGATGGCCAAACCCTACTGAACAAGAAGCTCGGGTACTAAGTAAATGCGAGTCCTCTAATTGGATATGGATGCCCCAGAATCACGTTTTTTTAGACGTCTCAAATCACACAGTAGAATATTCTCGGCAGGGCACTCGTCGTCATTCATCCTGATGTTTCAGGGCAGAAAAATACACATTCTGAAATTCCAGGGCACGTGATACAGTTTGCAATCAACCTGAAGTTACAAGGTGAAAATCCAATACTATCCTGAAATTTCAGGGCACAGTCCCTGGACACACCCTGAAATCAGGGTAATGAGGATGTTCTACCCTGATATTGTAGGGCCTGAACATGAGTGAAACTGAAAAAATAGGTTCTTCTATTCCTCTAGACAAAGATGCTCATTCCATGTCACTAGCAATTGATCCGTAGTGGGTCGATGAGCCCAGTCACTCTGAATCGCATCTCGCATCATGCCCACCAGAACCTCCGCCTGCTCCTCCGTCCATTGCCCCTCCAGCTTTTTGTCGAACAGCTCGGCGTAATCTGCGAACGCAAGATTCCGCAAATGTCTCCTTTTCATTTGAAATGATTCATCCAGCACACCGCGCCCGGTGACGAGCTCTAGCAGGAAAACGCCAAAGGCGTAGGTGTCGCAATGCGATGATAAGATTCCTGAAGGGTAAGAGGGTAAAGGAGCAACCAGGACACCTCTCTAAACTTAAGCACTGGTTGGAAAAGTGTGAGATGTGACATAATCAAGAAGCTTGATCAGATGGCAGCAAGAATATGCCAGCAAGCTTGGTCAGATACAATGTTACCACTTGCACGGAATGAGTTGTGCGCGATCACATGAATTGCAAGTGAAGCAAATGCAGAGGAAGATGCTTACAGTGACTCTTGAACGACGCACCTCTCAAATGTCGCACAAACCCATCTCATCCTCACTACCAAGCGAATTCCGCGGCAAATCATGCTTGGAGCAGCTCACCTTGGCCTTACCTGAGCCATGATCACTTGGGGTGCACCGTGTGCATACCTGAGCCATGATCACTTGGGGTGCACCGCGTGCATACCTGAGCCATGATCACTTAGGGGCATAGTACTTGCAGAAATGCTAGACCTGACTGAGAATCTTTGCAGACAGGGACAGCCAACGCACCGGCTCACCTCTCTCGAAATGGTCTGGGTCCATGTAGCCCCACGACCCAGCCATTTCCTAAACTGACTTGGAATTCGTCTCATCCCATCCCACGAGGCGCAACACCCATCACGCCGGCTCACCTCTCTCGAAATAGTCCGGGTCCATGTAGCCCCACGACCCAGCCACTCTCTAACCTGACTAGAAGTCGTCTCATCACATGAGGCACAACACCCAACAAACAATACACAACACACAACACCCAACAAACAACACACAACAAACAACACACAACACACAACAAACAACACACAACAAACAACACACAACACACAACAAACAACACAGAACACCCAACACACAACACACAACACCCAACAAACAACACACAACACCCAACACACAACACACAACACACAACACCCAACACACAACACCCAACACCCAACACCCAACGCGCCGGCTCACCTCTCTCAAAATAGTCTGGGTCCATGTAGCCCCATGATCCAGCCACTCGCGTCGTGACATGTGTCTTGTCCTGGCATGCCTTGGCCAATCCGAAATCAGCCACCTTGGGAACGAGCGTCTGGAGATATGCGGATTGAAACAAGAGCACGAAACAGCAGGTGGGAGAAATCAGTCCGAGACCGTAAGGAGATGCGCCTTGCTCTGACATGATTGGCCAACCTGAAATTGTCCATTTTGGGAAGGAGTGTTTGGAGGCATACAGATACAGTACAGAGAAGTAAGAAGGGTGCATTAGCCACATGGACCCAGCAACTCTCGCCCTGATATGCGTTCTGTCCTGTCATGCATTGGCCAATCCGAGATCCGCCACCATCAGAACAAGTGCCTGGAAACATGCACATGGACAAAACGAACAAAAAGCAGCGGGGGAGAGAGAGAAGTCCGAGGCTGCAAGGAGACGTATTTGTAGGAGTTGGCATGCGCACTTGTCATGCTTGCTTAATTAGTAGGAATTGTGTTTTGTTCTCGCATGCCTTGGCTAGTCTAATTAGTCCACTTGGCATGCATTGGGTAAACCGAAATATACCGGCCTAAAAAAGTGAGCGCGCGGAGAAAGAAACACGAAGTTACAAAGCAAGAGGAAACAGAGAATGGGTGGAATTATAAAGGGCTGCGACATGTGTGTTGTGCCTTTGCTTTGCCTTTGCTGGTCATGGTCGGCCCTCCAGAAGGGAATCTGTGGGAAGTGAGAGTGTATTGGGCGCATAGAAGGTCCAGATAGTTTTTTTGTGATTTGATCATCCTGACCCGATTTTTTGTGAGAAATATGCGCCCACTGAACTGACTCGCCTTTGTTAGAAGCACACAACAAGTACCCACCTTCGTTAGAAGCACGTCATAGGAGCACACCTTCGTTAGAAGCACATTGGCGGACTTGAAGTCGCGGTGGATGAATCCCTCCCTGTGAATGGCCGCCAGCCCCTCAAGACTCCCTCTGGCGATGCGCAGCCGGTCCTTCCAAGGGAAGGGCTCTGTGTCACTCCTTGCTGCTTGCACAGGGAGGGGTGAGCGACAAGGGATTCGAGGCACCTGAGATATTAACTGTGAGGAATGAGTGAATGAGAGGAATGAGTGAATGAAAGGATAGCAAGGGGTGAGAGGGACAAGTTCTGGTTGCTTATCCCAGTTGCTTTCAGTTGGTTTTGATGCGCCTGGAACCTGCTAGGCTTGTTCCAGCTGCTTTCACCCCCGTCTTTCCACACCCCGTCTTTCCACACCCCGTCTTTCCACACCCCGTCTTTCCACACCCCGTCTTTCCACACCCCGTCTTTCCACACCCCGTCTTTCCACACCCCGTCTTTCCACACCCCGTCTTTCCACACCCCGTCTTTCCACACCCCGTCTTTCCACACCCCAAGGCCCATCAGGTGTTGGGATGGGAACCAAGTACCCCCATCGCATCACACCACACAACGCCTGATGACACCATATTACCTTTCTTGTGCTAGGCAACATCTCCCCCCATGCGAGGCAACATCTTCCCCCATGCGAGGCAACATCTCCCCCATTCCCCTCCACCTTCCAGGACAAACTCAGAGTCCAAGGCAGTGACCCTGCCCCATCATTTGAGCAAATGCCCACCACATTCCACCGCATTCCACCCTCCTGTACCTTTCTTCAACCGCTGGGAAACATCCCCCCCCGGGACGAACTCAGAGACCATGGCAAGGGTTTGCCCCATCACGGCCACTCCCAGCAGGCGCAGAATGTTGGGATGGTGCAGCGCTGTCATCATCATGACCTCCGTCTGATGGGGGAGAGGAGAGGGAGGAGCAACCGGGTGGAAATGGCGGAGTGGAGGAGAAGGGGAGGATGGCAGAGGGGAGGAGAGGGGGGGAGCATCACGGCAATGAGTTCTGCCTTGGGGTCTCTCCCCATTGAGAAGGGTGGGTGCAGGGGGGTCTGGGGAGGGGGGGACGTCTGATGGTTCGCCCCATCACGGCCACTCCCAGCAGGCGCAGAATGTTGGGATGGTGCAGGGCAGGGCAGTCATTACAGTATCTCCGCCTGACGGGGGGACGGGGAGAGTCCCGATGGTCGGGGAAGAGGGGAGAGGAGGGGGAAGGGCCAATGGTGCAGGGAAATCATTATCGTGCCTCTGTCTGATGGGGGAAAGGGAGAGGGGGCCGGGGAAGAGGGGAGAGGAAGGAGAAGGCTTCTCAATGGTGTAGAGCAGTCTGATGAATGGTGAGAGGAGGGGAACGGGGTGACGGCGGAGAGTAGGAGAAGCGGGGGAGCGTCGCGAGCATGAGTTCTGTCTGACATCTGACAAGGGTGGGTATCGGGGGGTCTGATGGTTCGCCCAAGCCACTCCCAGCGGCCGCGAATGTTGGGATGGTGTAGAGCAGTCATCATCATGAGCTCCATAGGAGAATGATGGGTGCAGGGGGTTGATTGAGGGAGAGGGGAAGGGAAGGGACAATGAGAAAGCGTGCAGAGCAGTCATCGGTATGATCTCTGTCTGATGTGGGAGGGAGGAGAGGTGAGAGGAGGGGGGGTTGGGTGGTTGAAGGAAAAGTTGGGGTATATGGTAAGAGCTGAAATCACCAGGAAAGTATACATTTGTAACTTTCCAGGTTATTGTTCATTTGTAACTTACCAGGTAAGTGCTGTTTGTCTGTAACTTACCTGATAGAAGTTTGTTTGTGATTCACCAACTAAGTGTTCATGTGTAACTCAATCACAGTAGTATCGCTCACTCACCAGCAACTGCTCTCTTGCCCCTCCCTCCGCATTGTCAGTCAAGCACATCTTCACCGCCACCGGAACAAACTCCTTCCCACCCACTTGCACCACTTCCAAATCATCATTGATCCCGGGCCCCATCCCCCCTTGCACCTCTTCCTCATGGTCCCGTTCGCCCCACCCTCCCCCGACCCCTTCCCCGTACCCTCCCCCGACCCCTTCCCCGTACCCTCCCCCGCGCGCTCCCCCGTGCGGCAGCAGCAGCATGCCCTTGTAGACGGCGCCGAAGCCGCCTTCCCCCAGCTTGGTGCGCCAGTCGCCCGTCATCCGCCGCAGCTCGTCCTGCGAGTATCGCGGCAGCGTGCCGTCGTCCTCCACGGCGCGCATCGCCACGGGCTCATGGTCTTTTGGGAGGACAGGAGGGAAGAGGGGAGGGGGGAGGGGGGAGGTGGGACGAATGGTTTTGCCGGGAGGAGTGCTAGTACGGCCGCACCAAGCCGTCCGCCCCCACTGCCCGGATAGCCTACGCGGGCCGCTCGTTTAGGGGGGAAAGGGGAACGGCGGAAAGGGTAGTTGTTGGAGAGGAAAGAAGCGGGAAAGGTTAGGAGGAGGGAAAGTTAGGGTTGTTGTGGGGCAATGTGGAGTGTGAGGAGGAAATATCATTACCTATCATGTGAGTAGTGCCGTACTACCAGGTGAGGTGACCCCGGAAGCACGCAGCCGGCACCATCGCCACTGGAAATGTCTACGTCACTATAAACTAGTTATACGGTGTAGCCTAATGGATGATAATGAGATCGCTCTAACAGGGTAGGCACGGAAAAAGAAAAACGACCTTTGTGTCAGATATCGGTCGGTGCCGAGTATCGTCGTCGAACCCGTATCTCCAGCACTCCACTAACAGCCCTCATTGCTCCAAACAAAATTCACAGACGAGAAACCGCCAGCATTAACCATACCCGGAGGGCCAAGAAGGCCCAAATTGCCTCAACCTTACTAACCTTGGTTGAGTTTGGCCCTCGCATTCAAAATCTTGGCCAATTGTGTTGCTCGCTCCAACCGAGCTTCCTAAGGTTGAAGTTCTTGGCTCGCGGGTTTAACCCGCATCCCTAAAGCTCCATGCTCGCGTAGGCAGATTCGGGTCAGTTTTGGCTCAAGTTCTTTTCGATTAGAGTATTTGCTAGCCATGAATTATCCCTTAACTAACTTTTGACCCAAAAGTTACTTCGGGGTTAATAGGGTCAGCTTTAAGAAAGGACTGGGGTCGAGGACCCTTTGGGACCAAAGTTTGGGTCAGCAACATTCTGGTGATGCAGGAAACGGCGATTGTAAAAGCTATGAATTTCTAGTCCGACTCAAACATCGAGTGCCGCTGAAGCACCGTCCGCACTTAACCCTTGGACGATGACGACTGAGAACGAGAAATGGATTTTATTTCGCCCGGAAAAACGATGTGAAACAAGCCTCAGAAAGCCAGATTCTAAAAACAACGATACGTCTAAACTTTGGGAGCATGATAATAACACAAGACGCTGATTGAGTGAAGCTTTCAAGTCACCTAGACCGACTATTTGAACACTTTGCGTGACTCACGGTTCGTGCCAGGAAAGCAGCAAAAGAAACCCATCCTCGAACTTGTTTTTAAAGCAGAGCAGTAAGGTCCACCAAGAATAGCTTTTACGATATATTTTATTAATAGTTACTACGAAATGCGGTCGCAAGTTGAGCTAGAAGGTACCTTTGAGAATAGTCTACGAGTCCGAGAAATCTGAGAGACGAACCAGGGAATTGCAAAATGTGCAGGATTGTGAAACAGCGATGGAGGGGAACGCTTTGGGGCTTGAATCGGGTGAAGTTCTGGCTGTTGCGCGCGCCCCGCCAATATCAGCTGTTTGGTTTGCGACCGACTTTTCCTAAGCCCGTGAGTGGTGAGTAATAAGAGCCTTCGCGGGATGAGTTCCTGTCGGCCCTAATTCTTATTGCTGACTTTGTGTTGACTTTTCGAGCGATGCTGACTGGACATTGATAAACTGAGTCAGCATGGTTGGCTGCCAATGTAGCAAACACATGACGCCGCACGCCAATCTTACGGGCAGGCATGGACTGAAACGTGCATCTCATTTCGAGAGTCTTCGCAAACTTCGCCACCAGCTTCAAGGGACTGTATATGCTCTGGCTGGTTACATATATGTAAGGAAAAAACCCTTTCCTTAAAGCCCAAAACCCGAATTACAATGAAAGGAACAGTTTTGCCCCGCGTTGACTTGCGTTGAGCAATTCAGGTCTTGGGCTTTAATCGGAGTTTACTGCTTCGCGTACAACCCCCACTTTCGGAAGTGCACGTTCGGCCGGATCGCTCGCTACCGAAGCAACATCGCGTCGTCTTCGGCTTCACTTTGCCCAATCTGCACCCAACCTCGTGTTCCCGAGGTTCCGCCTAGCTAGGTTCACCCGCTATAGTATCCCGTGTCTTTCATTGTATCGACAGTCCATATAGTAACAGCTTCGTTATTCGTAATTCGTTGTTGGTTATTCCGCGCAACTCTGTTTGACAACTCATAACGCTTGGTATCAGAGCTACTTTCCTAGTTCACCCCGCTTTTCGATGGTAGTTAAGTGGCACGAGTGTGACTGGTACAGTGGGCTCCAAAGTAGTTGGCTAAAAAGTTTATTGAATTAGAGCGTGTTCCTATGACCTCCTATCAGGGGCACCTCGTATCAAAAATGTATTTTCGCTATGTACACATTATAAAACGCATCGTATCAGAAGTGTATCGAATCTGCGCACCAATGAAATTGCTCGCATAACATCGCTAGGACGTGCATATTTCCCGGTGCACGGTCCCATCAAACGAGCAGACGTCTACCCTGTGGATGCGGCCGTCACACATTCATGCTCAGCTGTGGGACATGGCAGTCGTGCGCTACGTAAAAACGTGCAGACTCTGCAAACGTGGCTCAAAACTTTGACGAATGTGCACCGCGCCAAAAAAGGCATGCCACGCACGTTCAGCGATTCAGGGTCCTTGTCATCTCCACCCACATTACCTTCTCTACCACCGCTATCAGTGATCTGGGCATACATATTTGGTAGTACCTTCATACTGCTACCACACATCTAGCAATATGGCCCACAAGCGTAAAAACCAGGCAACCACCAGCGAAGAGGCATCATGGCGTCCTGAGGATCTCGCGTACGTCAAGTGGATGAGGGTTGAAGGCCGACGGCTAGGCCCCTGTGTAATGTGGGACAGACGTCCGCGCAGTCTACCGCCACTCCTCGTTCTACCCCCGGCCCTACCAACATCGGTGCCTTTACCGACTATGATACGGATGAGGACGACGACGTCAACGATTCGGCGGAGGATGATGACAACGCCAACACCGAAGGCAACGACCCAGTGGTCGCGTGGTGCGGCGATCCTGAAAACAACGGGCCCGCCGAAGATCGCGACGCTGCATCAACCGAGAGTCCTAAAAAAAAGGTCTGCTGATTCGCGAGAAGGCAAAACGATCGGGCAAGGGGCGGGTGCAGTCCGAAGCGCGCAGCGAGCCGACGATCCACGCTAGTCCATGAAAATGACCGCACTCGGAGTGGTCACCGAGAGAATCAACGGTTCTTGTGGCTGCTCGATGCTTCACCAAAGACGAGCTGCCGCAAATGACGGAAAAACAAGGCAGTCAGTATTGGTTGCATCTTATCGAACACATTAAACTGCAGCACCCTGATTGGTGCAGAAACGTTACCGCCTGCACCAACCAGTAGAAGCGCCTCAAGGCTCTGTGGAAGCAGATTGAACGGGGTGATTCCGCCTCTAGGAGCGGCACGGTGATAAAACCCCTACGGTGGGAGTGGATGGTACTATTTTATCAAGACACCGTAGCTGCCGAGCCACACGCACTCGATGGTGGCAGAGCGGTGAACGTCACTGTGGATCCTGGAACTCAAGTCCCCAAGCCTGCTAACACCGAAGAGACAACTACCATGTGTATGTGATTAGTCGCCATTGCTGTCAGAATCAACTATGCAGGAATGAATGAACTATGAATGAGTTGGGTACAAGTACTTACCCTAAAGTGTTGTACCTCTTGTAGGCTAACCCACTATAGCCTAGAGAGAACGCAAACATACAGTTTGACACACCCCCATAGGCTAAATGGGAGAGAGCAAACACAACAGACGGTCACAAGACCAGTCAAGAAAGAGAACAAGCAAAGCAAGGCTCAGGGTGGATCTTAGGACACCACACAATCTGAGCACAAGCAAACGGCCACACGGTCACATGCAGAGTTATAATAGCAAGGCAGTACAGTGATCACAACCTAGCAAGAGTAAACAAGTAGGTATAAAGATATATATCAGTGTACAACAAGAGCAAGTCACACAACCAGCAGGTGAGGCAGAGTGGGCACAAGCCTAAGAGTAGTGCAGAAACGCTGATGATCACCAGACCCAAGGGCCTTGGTGAACACATCAGCAGTGTTGGCCCGCGAGGCCACGTAGGAAAGGCGGAGCTGACGACGCTGCTGCAGCTCACGTGCAAGGAAGTAGCAAAGAGCAATGTGCTTCGTTCTGTGCTCCAGTCTCTGCTCGCGACACAAGGCAAGCATTGCCTTGTTGTTGACCTACGGATTGGAGGAGAATGAAGCCGCTCCCCCAAGTCGATCAGCAGGTAGGTCAGCCAGCGTAGCTCCAATGCAGCCATGGCCCCAGCGTAGATCTCTGCCTCACAGCTGGAACCAAGCACATAAGAAGAATGAGTGGACCTCCACGAGACAGAACCAGAGCCAAGACTGAAGGTTTAACCCTGTGACAAACGCTGAGTCGCCTGGTTGTCGGCCCAAGAAGCGTCGGAGTGTCCTGTGAGTACCACTGAACCCTGTCCTCCAAGCACGAGCCCCATGCCCAATGTACTGCACAAGTAACGCAGTACCCTCTTCACAGCATCCCAGTGCACCTTTTCGGTGTCTACCGGGAGCCACGTAGCGAGCCAGGAGGTTGAGAGGGTACGCGAGGTCACGTCGTGTGCACGTCATCAGGTACTTGAGGCAACGCACAAGCTCTAGGTACAGACCACTTAGCTCTATGGACTCGTCCGAAGGTGGAGCTGAGAGCAAGTGGTCGGTAGACAGAGGAGTGGGCTGTGGCGAGGAGAACTGGAAACCGAAGCGCTGAAGGACCTGGTGCACCATGAGTGACTGAGTCAAGGTGATGGTGCACCGTGCTCTGTCCCGGGTGATCTGCAAGCCAAGATAGGTCCGCAGCTCACCCAGGTCAGTGCAGATGTGTCTCTCCTGCAGCTCCGCCTTCACTAGGGCCTGCACCTCCGTGTAAGCAGCAGCAAAAACCAAGTATTCGACGTACACGAGAACGTAGAACGGCGGCAGGGTAGTGTCGGTGCGTAGAAACATCGACGGGTCAGTAGAGGAAGGAGCAAACCCAAGAGACTGTCGTCCCAAGTGTGTCGTGCCACTCGCGAGGCGCCTGACGGAGACCGTAGACTGGCCGCTGGAGGCTCCTCTGGGTACCCGCAGGAAACGACCCAATGAAGCCAGGTGGGCGGAACAACCAGATCTCCTCGTGAAGGCTGCCCTGCAAGAAAGCTGTGGAGATGTCGAGGGAGTGCAGCTCATAGTCACGTTGTGCTGCAACGTGCAGCAACACCCAAAGAGTAGTCATCTTCGGGGTGGGGGAGAAGGTTTGGAAGAAGTCGACCCTCTGTCGCTGACTGAAGCCTTGAGCAACGTAACGTGCCTTGAAGGCTGGCGGAGAACCCGGAGGCCGCTTCAATCTGAAAATCCACATGCCATCGACTATGTTTGCCCTAGAAGGAGGAACCTCGTCGACATAGTGTCAAAGTTATATTTAAGATATGTCCTACTTGCTGTAGTTACTGTAGTTATTGTACTTTGCTGTTGGTGGTGCACCTCTTGTTTCCTTGTTTCAAGG